CACAGGCTTTGGATGTTTCACACCAGTGAGCAGCATCAGACACTGCTCCACAGCCAACACACTACAGGCCTTAAGAGAGTTTAGATTTTTGGTGGGACAAAATGGTGCTGCTTTCACCTTACTGTATTTTAGTTTGGGATCAAAACTTTTTCTATCAACAGCAGTGTCATTCCAACAGACTGGTATTATCCCTTCAAAACTACCACGCTGATAACTTGTGCTCCCACTGCTTTGATGCCAGTTCTGCATTTAACATTGGAGACTGGCCTTAGGCTGGCATCAGATTATATTCTGAAGTAGGCAGCTCTTTCTAGAAAAGAGCTGAAACTCTTTCTGTGTCAAAAACATAGTGACAAAAAATCAGCATAGCCTGCCAGCCAGCACATCTTTCACAGAAGTATGAAGTGTCCAACAGAAGCTGATAACTGTTTCTATAGTACTGCCAGTTTCTCTTTTAAAAATTGGGAACTGTGTCCCAGTTCACTCACAGGTGAATGTTTATTTGTTTTGCTCAGATTATTTTATGCCTTCTAAAGAGGCAAAACACTGTGACAGAAGTTCTTTTCCTCACATCCCTTTTTTAGCAGAGACTGTTGAAAATTCACATTTAAAGTGTAGATTGAAAAAAAAAAATTAACTGTGAAATAGATATTTAGCTCCTTTAATAAGCAAAACTATTGTCAACACATCCTGATAGACATTGCTTTTAATAGTAACAATATTTTATCTCAAGGCAATCTCAAAGTTTAATTAAGTTATGTAAAAGAAAGTTACGTTTGTGCTTTCAGCAGTACTGTAGCTGGAAATTTGATGTAACAAATTTCTTCTCTCTTTAAGTGTGCCTAGACAACATATTACTGTACTCAAAATTGCAATCTGCCAAACTGTTCAATTCAGTGAGCACTTTGAGACTGCAGAGAGAACAAAAGCAACAGAGTAACATGGTTTTGTGTTTGAAATACCTGTAGATTGTATAAATTCTCATGTTAATCTGGTGCCATGGAGCTTGAAATCCCACTGGGCCTTCAAAAAACTGGCATCTTATATCATCATTTTCATTATAATTAGAGTAATATTATTTTCCTTCACAGTTTTGGATGGGTTTTGTTGGTTTTGGATGGGGTAGGGTTAATTTTCTTCATAGCAGCACTACGGGGCTGTGCTCTGGATTTGTGCCGAAAACAGTGTCGATAATTCAGGGATGTTTTTGTTATTGCTGAGCAGAGCTTACACAGTCACAGCACCCAATACAAGGCTTGAGGGGTCCAAGGCAACACCAGATTTGATTGGAATGTGCTAGATCACATTTATAGCTGCTCTTGCTGTTGAGCTGTTGACAGGCTCTGTGCTTGCCATGGGGCTTGCTGCCTTCTGTACATTAGTGCTTGTTCATGGCTGGCTTTTGCTATCACTGCTTGCTGTACCACTTATCTTACTCTGCTGTGCCTGGGAACATTTTGATAACAGCAGTGTTTCTGTGTACTGGACAAACTGGAACTCCAGTGTGAACTCGAAGGGTCTGTGACCTGTGGATGAGCCCAGGCAGCAGCAGGACACTCCAAAGCATCCGTGTCCATGGATAAGTTCAGAAGAAGGCAAGGAAGCCTCCAGCACTCAGTATTCCCAGGCAGTCTCCCATCCGAGTCTTCCTTAAGGCCCTGTTGAAGAAATACTTCTTGATTCTCTGAAGCCTTTCAACCTTACAAAAATCCTGGGCTGTAGGAAGGATTGACTTTGGTCGCTGGTATGAGGAGTTAATGTGAGTCACTGCTGTCACAAAGCTCTGCTGCTCAGAGGGGTGTAACACTGCAAAGCACTGCAGCACGGCAGCAGCCTGTTCACCTCAGAGGGCAGTCTGGGCAGTGGCTGACTTGTCCCAGAGGACTGCACTTGGTCCCTGACAGTGCAGTCAGCACCCCCTGTGCTGCCCTCTCCCCGAGGCACAGGCAGGTGTCCAGCAGGGCCCGGGCCCGGCCGGTCAGGGTGGGCTGGGAGGTGATGGTCTCGTAGTCCGGCCGGGACAGCGCCTGCTGCGAGCGCAGCACGTCCAGCAGGTGGTTCAGGCGGCCCTCTGTCATGCAGCTCAGGATGCTCTGTCTCTGGCAGGTGAGGATCTGACAGAAGGTTCCTCTGCAGCAAGGACCTGGAAACAAAAAGTGAAAAGGAAGTGAAAGGGGAAAAGGAAACAAAACGTGTTAAACCTGTATTATTTTCTTCCAGAAGTTTTTAGCAAGTGGTAATATCAACACCAGAAGTATAAACTCAGTAGAGGAAGGAAGTGGGAAGAGTTAGTTTATTTGCATTCTATGTTCAAAACTAGTCCAAAGTATTTTCATCTTTTGTTTGAAACTCATGAAGATCAGATTACAGAAAATAAGTGTTTCTAAAGACCATTAAGTGCTCATTTTTTTAGGGGAGCAGATTTTCAGGTCTTGTGCTATTCATTGAGCATCTGTATCAAACTTCATGCAAAGCAGCTTGGCTTGACACAGATGAGAAAACTTTCTCCTGTCAAAAGTGGAAGGAAAGACCACAGCTTAGGGTAGCAGGAGCATTTGAAACGTAGCATGAAACTGGGAAAATGAATATACACCAAAGTCAAACTGATAAGAAAAGTAATACTCCTGGCAAAATGGTGGAGAGCTTTGGGTTCTGTCTCTTTTCACAGAGTGATTAGAACACTTAGTACTGATACCAGGGTTTTTAGTGTAGAGGAGAAAACTAAGAACCAGAAGTCATGTTGCTTTGGAGAACATGCCTCTGTCAGTCTGATTGTTGCTGTAGTGTTGTGTGATGAACTTCTCCTGCACAATCTAGTCTGTTGGTTTATTCAGAAATTATGCCATCACTCAAGTGAATTGCCATGGAGAAGGCCAGCTAGGCTGAGAACTATCGTAAGCCAGTCTGCAAACAGTTAGCAAAACCAGCTCCCAAAGGTTCACCCACAGGCAGAGTGAGGCTTCCCAAACCAGCAGCTGAGCCTTTCTGCCTCTGTTCTGTAGGGAGATGAGACCATGTGAGTAAGGGAACAGAGGGCACCCTGTCACCTGTTTCTGTAGTCAGCAGCTACTCTTGTAGAGGTATACAATGCACAGCTTAAGATTGCAAAACAAATAATCCCAGACTTAAACAACTAGTGTATTTCACACTCAATGTGTGGTGTATATTTTGTATTTTTATTATGGTCTTTTCAGAACTGTTCTCAGCCTCACAGTGATCCTGGAAAGAACATTCTGGGCAATGACACTGGAGCCAGTGTTCTCAATGGTCAGTGCCTGGACTTCTGGGAAGAGAGGAGCAGTTATATGTAAATAGACTGGTGAGACATTTGTATCAAATTAGGAGCACCTATTACACTAAATACTTTAAAATGTGCACAAAATTTAGAAATATCTTAATATTTAGAAATATTTTTAACAGTTTTATCGCTAAGATCTGGCCAAGGCAAATATTGCCACCTCAGCCTGGGAGTGGTGCCTCACCTGTCTCTGCTTGTCCAGGGTGCACTGGCTGTGGGCTGTGCTGAAGAGCCAGCAGTGGGGCCACATCCTGACTGCTTTGTGTGTCTGCAGCTGAACCAGATAAAGGAATCTTCCTAAACAAGTTTGGTTTTCTACTCTCAGAGCCTGGATGATCTGGAAAAGGTTAAGATGAGCAAGATTAGACCCTTGAATTGAACAACAACAAACCACTATACATTTGTCACCCACTGCAGAAGACTGGTACTTAAGACTGACTTGAGAGTGCTTACTTATTACTGGCTGTTCTTCTGGCTCTTCATTCCACACCACTATTCCTAGGAAGATTTTGGTGTATATTACTACACACACCAGACTTTTCCAAGCTGCCTGCAGGAATTTGTTACTGAAGTCATGGAACGTTTTGTTCTGTGATGAGTCTGATGCTGTTGGTCAGAACTAAAGGGCTTGGAAATGCAGATGTTGCTACAAGTGAATTAATTTCTTAATGTCTCAACTTTTGTATCCAAAGGCATGAGAATTACTGAAAATCACTTATTGACACAAATGTAAACACTTTGATAGGGCAGATCCACATTGGAAAGATAAAGGAAGTTATTTACATGGGAATGGTGATTATCAGGAATCATTCACACGTTCCTGGCAATACAGTCTTTTTAAAGCTTTTTTCCTTTTCTTAGCAAATTACAGAAAAAGCAGTTATTCCTGGTGGCACAAAGCAGTGGGATTCCCAGGAGGGTCTTGTTCTGTCAAAGCCAACACTCAATATTTGATGTGTGAGGGAAAGGCAGCTCTATATTTACAGCTCAGTATTCTAGAAAAAATTAGCAAACCCAGCTTTTCTATCTATACATTTAGTCAAAAAACATTGTGGTGTCTCTGGTTTCCTGCAGTGAACTCACACTTCAGATGATACCAGTAGAAGGCACAGCTTTACTCTGAGAAGGGACAATTTTACATGGAAAATAACATTTCTGCATTGAACAACTAGTAATAGTTATGCTTTTCTTATAATAGCTGGAGCTAAATATAGTTCAAGGTAGACACCTTTTCTTGTTTTTGCATTCTGTGGGATAGTATTTGACAGACCCATCTCAAGAATATTCTCTCTTCCTGCATTATTTCCACTGCTATCAAGTAGGCCAGTTGAGCTCGGCACTATGAGAGGAATTTTCTTGCTGATTAAGCGGTTGTTTTTTGGTGGGCAGATGATCTGAAAGAGACCAAAATGGAGAAGAGTTACCTTCTTGGAAAGTTTTGTTCCAAACCCTTTTCTAAACAGGAGAGGTTCAGAACAAATCTGAAGTGGAAGACGTTTTTTCAAGAGCCACGTCAGGGTCAGTTGCTGTGAACCAGGTAAAGCAGTGGGGTTCGTGGTCTGCCTGGGTGGAGTTATCCTGGGCAGGGACATTTTGCACTATGCATTGTGTTTGCTCTGTGCACTGGCAGGGCTGTCAGGGGAGAGCAGCAGCTCCTGAAGTGCTGCACTGTCTGTACTCACCTCCGAGTTGCAGGTGCCTGTCTGCAGGGTGTAGGTGGCTGAGCCTTTGCAAGCATCAAGCGCTCTCTCCTGGCAGGAGAAAGCACAGGAACTCCAGTGAGGACAGATGTGGGCTCTTCAAGAATTTATACTGACAATGGATATTACACTCTAAGGTGTGCTCATATGTGCTAACAAGGAATTGCACTGAGCAATTTTACATTTTAACACATGTCAGTGGGCATAGAATCTGACACAAAATTCTGACCTCTTACTGTTTCTGGTGTTTCACATTTATTTTAAAACCCACTTTTGACTCATGCAGGAAAAGGTGAAAATAAGCCCATATTGAGAGAGACTGGGCTAGCTCTAACATGTTTTCCTTCAAGGATCCAAACAGCACAGCCATGCTCTGTTAGTGTGCCAAACTGTCTGCAATAAGGATGTGTCAATACTTGTAACTGTTTTCCCATTCCTACATCCACAGCAGATTTGTTAAACTATTTTTTAGGTTTTATACTTCAACAGTTGTGAATTGATCAATTTTCAAGAAACTTCAGTATCATTTTCACAGTAATTTTGGACTTACCAATTTGAACAATAAATAGTGCTCTTTATTAATTCAGCAAATGAAAAAATAAAACCTTGCTCAAGGGCAATCAAAGCATTAGATTATGGAATATTTGGTAATAAACTTCAGCAGTAGTAAAAATGGCTTTGACTATAACTATGCCAGCTACTAAAACATTGATCAAGTCTGTTCTACAATCCCAGAATGTGACTGCAACAGGTAGAAATAATCCCTCACACAACAGACCCGGGCCCAGCAATGAGCCCCAGGGTGCAGCACGGGCTGTGTAACTGCAGGCAGAGTCAGAGGGCTGGGCTGAGGCTGCAGCTCATTCCTGGCTCCCCCACCATGACTGGCTGAGTTAACTGGGTAGGAGACAGCTCTGTTTGTGGCAGTCACGTTTGGGGCACATTTCCCATGGCATTGTAGACATACATGGAGTTAGCTGTGTCCCTCAGCTGTTGGCCATTCCCAACCCATCCCTGTGGGATCAGAGGACCCTCTGAGACTGTAGGACAAGAATTGCCTTGTTCCTGAAAGCATGTCAGTGTAGGAACAGTGCAGGGCACAGAGCAGTGCTGATATGGTACTGCTGCAGCAGGTACAAACTGCCCAGGGTGGGAACTACTTGGGTTGGAACCAGTACACACAAAATTGTCCTTGGTTCTAGCCCTAATCTGAAGGACTTGAGGCTAATATTTGGTCTTACTCACATGGGTTTACCAGGCTGACAGGTGGTGACTGGAAAGAAGCTCTCATATTTTTAAAATAGCAGGTATCAATTGACTTATTTTTTAGAGAACCTCCCAATATATTTTCTACAGTTTCTAAATGAGCCTGGAGTGCCAAAGGGTGTGCTCCAGCTCTCTGGTGCAGCCACTAAAGCAATCAACACAAGGCCTTTCCTGGGTTTGGATCACAAAGATTGTAATCAAACAAAACAAGTAAAATCCTTGCAGGAGAACAAAAGTTAATTTTGCACTAACCTTTGCATCCATCAGACTGTAGATTGCTGTGGAAATTACCTCCTTATTTATACCAGTCAAAATTCCATTTAGAAGATCTACACATTCTGCAGGGGTAATAAAGCATTTTAAATACCACATTGTGTATCAAAGCATATATATATTTAGACATCAGCATGTTGCAACTAACTTCATTATTATATTGAGAAGATGTATGAACTAGACAAAATGAGTTTAACACAACTTCCACCTCATACTTTTTCTTGGTCTCCTCTTTGACCTGATTTTAAAGAACGGTTCCAGTCACATGAAAATCATATTTTCTTAAATGTTCACACAGATGTGTGAACTTAATTGCAAAACATTTACTCAGGACTCAATAAATCCACCACAATAAAGCTGTATGCAAATTGCTTCCTCAGCATTTCAACTTCAAAAGCCCTCAAATATCAGAATTTTAATTTCTCAGTTATCTTTTTAAAAACAGATGCTAAACATACCAATTCCACTGAAGTAGACAATGATAGCACACTTCAAAAGGAACTGGTTGTGCATTGGAATTGAGAAATGCTTAGGGCAGTTTGATCTTTCTTAAGCTAGTGTAGATACATTAGATATGTGTATATATATGAACAATAATATCCCTTCCTTTATTTTCACGTTATACTAAACACAGTTTTGGAGACAAGTAAGGCAATTTGTGGTAAGAAGGGTCAGTCAGAAGGAATATCTCAGGTACTCTGATGATCTAAAGCCCCCTCCCACCTGAGCTGTGCTGCATCTGGAGTGCTAAACAATGGTCCTGGAATGACCCTCTCCATCAGCAATCTCACACAGAAAGCACATCCTGAATGTCACCTGCAGTCCGTGGTCTGTGAGCTGGATCCTGATGCCAGCACAGAGCAATGAGGTGCAATAGTCTGTTCCTCTCAGGAAAATTGCTTGGTATAAACTCTTCTGAAAGGCCAGGCCGGGAGCTGCAGCAGATTCCTGTCAGAACCTCCAGCAGGGCTGTTTGACCTGCAGTTTAAAAGAAAACGTCACTGCAAAAAATATTAAAGACCTCAGAACTCTCTTTAAATTACATTCAGCATAAGTCATATTGTGTATTTTAAAACAAAGACTGCTTTTTTAAAAGCAAAAATGTATTAACACTCTTTTACCATAACCTTTAACCGTAGCTATAGCTACTTATTGATTGGAACAGGACATTTTAGGATAAAGACTTTTGTCCAAGTACTGAGTCATAAATGGATATATAAACCTGCATTGCAAACTACATGCACAGATACCTCAGGAATACATGTGATTATTCCAAGCATGGTTTTGTAAAAAGCCTCACTCTTGCATTATAAGAACAGAACTCCTCCTGTACACAAAGCTCAGCTGGAGCAGGCTCAAGGTGGCAGCCACAAGCTGTACACACATGGAGATATTGCTCTGGGCAGTGTTTTACAGGGGGTCTCAGTGTGTAGAATGCAGGAGTCCTTCAATCAGTTTTGCCATGCAGAATGAAGCTTTCACTGACCTCCACTTCCACAAAACAGCATTCCTAGATCCTTACACAAAGACAGTAGGGATGCTTCCTGAAGAGGAGTCAGCATGAACTCACAGTTCTTGATTGGTATTTAAAACTCATGGCAACTGTAAAAATGAGCCTTATGCCCATTCAGTTACCACCTGTCACTCAATAACTGACAGATGTGAAGTGATATTCCTGCTCCCTAAAGAAAAGTGGAAACCCAGCTCAGTGACACGGTGCCTCAGCAAGCACAGGGAGATGCTACAAACGGGGGAAGAGAGATCAATTCTTTGGAAACACTGAGGGTTTGTTGAGGAATCCTGATCTTTACATCCTGGATTGTGGAGCTTTGTGCTGTAAGAGAAGGCAAAGGGACATCTGAAAAGACAGTGCTGTTTGTATCTAATTTCCCTAAAATAAGGGAATTTGTGAGCAAGATTTGGACAATACAAAGTCTGACATGAACAATAGAGATAAATACCTTCAAAAGGTTTCTGTCTGCTTAGGCTCTCCCAACACATTATCCCAAAACTGAAAAAAAACCCAAAACATTGGAAGACCATAAATTAGTTTGCAATCTGTATCTGTGTTCTCATTTCTAAGAGCAAGTTTATTATTTTAAGAAAAAAGAATTTTTCAAGACAGTCTATCCAAGTCTTTCCTAGTTTGATGAGATTTTTCAGTTCTCAGCTGAGCTGCTCTTATAAAATAATCAGTTAAAATTTATTTTTTTTAAACATAGGTTTAGTTAGAATTCCATTTCAGGTTACCACCTTATCTACATTTGCTCTTGTGAATTTTGGGATCTTTTGTTCTCTTTTCTCTATTTTTGTTTTGCTTTCAAGTAATTTCAGTAGCAACTGAAAGGGCTGGACTTTTCAGCAGGTACCAACAAGCACATCTATTAACCTACAAAAACTTGATTCTGATGTATCTGTTTGCTTCAGCAAATTTTTATAGGGCTCTAAATACTTTTTTCCTTTTCTAACATCCTAGGAAGAATTCCAGTGGTACCATAGATCTATATACATAACCCACAACTCTAATGGTGTAAAATACAGTTGTTAATCTGCAAAATCAGAGGCAGAAGAGGGGGGGCTCCTGAAAGAGAGAAAACAGGCTATGGATGAGTCAGGAGCAAAGCAATCAAAAGGGGAAGAGGCAGTTCTGGGATAAAGATGTCTGCTTGCTCACACCTTGCTGTAGTGATGAATTACAGTGTTTAAAAGACCCTCTTCTGCCTTATTTTCACATAGAAACCTGGAAGTGCTTTTACTTCTACTCTCTAGGAAATATTAATATAATGTGGACCTACATGTAACTTAAATGTACTTAGTATTTCACATATGACAGGTATTTTTGTTTTCTCTGTGGTACCACTGTCTAGATATACACCTATCTCATGCACCTGAGTTACATCTGAGCATATCATTATATATTATATTATAAATATATACATTGTATACTATATATTTTATATCGTATATATTATATATGAATGAAATGTTGGAAAATTATTTATGTCCTGAAAGTAAGGCTTCATTCTTCCTGTGCAAAAATCTTGTGTTTGTGAACAACATCAGATTAGCCTCATCATTTATAGCTCTCCTCAAGTGTATGAATTATTAGATTACTCTTAGAGCCTGCCTCTGTGACAATAAAGCAGGAATTTAAATGTGTTGGTTTCTTCAAAGCTCAGAAATCAGAAGGTGTTAGTCCCCAGCTCTGTGTGTGGGTCGTGCTGATGGATGTCCACCCAGACACGGCTGGATTCCAGCTCCTCTCATTTACTGAGGCACCACATGTGACACACCCAAAGGGACACGTGGCAGTGATGACCTCCCTCCCTTGTGTAAATCACTTTGTTCAAAAGTAGGAATGCTGGAGTGGCTCAGGGAGTTATTTCAGCGAGATCCCATAGGACCTTAATGGGACACCATTGAGAGAAAAGTCTCATTTTTATCTGGGCCTCTCTAGGCATAAACAGTTCTTCCTGAAACTAAAGCCAAAACCAGTTCACACTTACAAACTGTGTGAAGCAGTTATGAGGTTTCTAAATATATCTGAAAGTTTTGGCAGCTATGTTACACTTTTAAAACACTTAGGTCCATTATATAAATATTTATGTGACTGAAAACAGTCCTTAACCTTGGTATCTTATTCACCAAATATGGTAAATAATTTAAAATTTAATTCACTGCTGTAATTGTCCTTGTGTGAAATACTATCCCACTGCATTATGCAGGTCTGGCATTTTTACTGTAATGTCTGAAGATAAGTATTTTGGCAACATTGTAGAGTATAGCCTGGACTAGGTATGACCTGCCCTTAAAATTCCATTCACCTGTAAATATCACCTTCCTGGGAAGGAAGGCCTCCTTCAAGGATTTCAGGAGGGAGGTACACTAAATCCTGGCAGCTCCTCTGGTTCTGCAGGGCTGACCTCAGCTGCTGTTTCCTCCAGTTGGTTAGACCATAATCTGATATCTACAGAGAAAAAAATCATTTGAGTAACAGTACATCAAGTCTTGGTACTAAATGTTGACTCTTCAGATAAATATATGCAATTGGATTTTCCATCAATAGATGAAAAGCTCCTACCTTGGCTCTGTACTGTCCATCCAGCAGCACATTGGAAGGTTTCAGGCTGCAGTGGCAGGAGGCAGGCTGGAGGCTGTGAAGGTGATGCAGCCCTTCAGCCACATCTGACAGGATCCTCAGGAGTAAGGGACATGGAAGGTCTGGGTACAGCTGACGCTGAGTTACACAAAATACAGGGTTTGGTGTGAAATTGTTGCTATTCACGTTTTCATTTGACAACAAACAGAACTACCAAACAGAAGCACAATCCAGAAACTGAAGAACAGATTGTGACCATAATTTACATGCTGATTGTTCTTCCTTGGCAGATCTTTTAATTAATTTTGCCACCCAGAAGATGACACCTTTTCTGTACCTCATGGATGAGCGAGTGCAGGGATCCATTGTCCATCCATCCAGTCACCAACCCCACGAGTCCATGGCACTGGTAAATCCCAAGGGGAGGTAGGAGACGTTCAGACTCACAGCCTCTGACACCTGCTATGTCCTGAAGCAGCAACTTCCACTCCCTGTAAAAAAGATCCAGTTAGAGGCAGGTGAGACTGAAGGGGGTTCCAGCTGGAGATGAGACACTGCAGGATGTGGAAATGAGAGAACCATATGGTTGATCACAAGGCAATATAATTCTACCAATAAACACGTATTACGTAATCTTCCAAACAATTCTAAGAAAATGAAGCAATCCCTCGTGTAGCATATTTTTGCAATATAAAGTGAAAGATCTCTGGATGCTTTAATATGGACATAAGAGTACAATTTGAAGCAGGATTGAAGTGTGAAGGCAGTAGAAAGCTTGTATTGTGTCATTTTGCTGTAAGTGACATTCCCATTTCCCAGGACATTATGTTCTTCCATGCACATCTCACTGCACTGCAATCCTGCCCATGTTTCCTACTCTCACCTAGATGTGCTGGTTTTGATTAAATTCAGCTGAGATCTCTTTAGGGACCTCCAGAAAGATAATCCCACACCCTGCTGGGATTACTGATCAGGGTTTGTATAGATTATTATAGTACAAAATTAATTACTTCAGGAGTAAGCTCTACTTCTACCAAAAATTGTCCAAAGCCACTGTTTGTGAGCACAGGTGCCTCCAGGCTGGCTGGCAGTGTCTGCAGGGCTGGAGCTGTGCTGGGGTCACACGGTCCCGGCCCCACCACAGGTCTGGGTTCCCCTGGGGGTCACTTGGCAGATCAGACACCCACCTCTCTGTAGTGTCCTGGCTGCTCAGCAGCTTCACAGAGATGGGACTGTTCCAAGAGATGTGGAAGGCTTTGAGTGCAAAGCCTGACCCTGTTCTGGTCACCGTAAAGCTTTCCAAATCTTCCTGGGCTACCACGGGTAGCGGATTGGCCATTTCTGGGTGGCTGGCTGGAGAGAAAAAGCAGAAAAGAAAAATGTTCTAAGAACTACTTTTTGTCACTTCTACCACAGCAAAGTTGCACCACCCCTTACTTCCCAAATAACTAATGCAAAAGCCTTCCTTTATAAAGACAGGAAAAATGCACTAATTGCCAAGGAGTGTCTGCACCTAACTTGCCATCTGAGGCTGCAAGGTGCTAATTAGTTGCTCATCATTATTTCCATCTGATGACTTTGAAATGTTAGGCCATTATTTATATTAAAAGGTGTGATTTTAAAGTGATACTGAATTTATGTGGACAACAAACTAGCATCTTACAGTTAGATTGAAAAGGCAATTATTCAATAACACATGTCAGCATGTTCTGCACCATTCTTGCATATCTTCTTTAATAAATCACATGTGAATGCAAAAGCAAAGTAAAAGGCAAATTTTCTGCTGTTGTAGACAGGCAGAATTCTGATAAATGGAGTTGTGTCTTTACAGCAGCCCCTAGTTTGGCCAGTACAGTCCCTGTACAGCCCCTCTCCAGGCCAGCTACACGTCTGAGACACTCTGCATGGCAACACACGTGGATTAGAGAGAACTTCTGCGAAGCATCACTGTCATACCATGTGAGTACCAGTTTTAATTACATCTCTGAAGCTCCATTAGACTAGAGGTAACAAAAAGTCAGTGGTGAAGGAGGAAAACAAACAATCACTGAAGGGTCAGTGGGTCAGAACTCAAAGTGTAGCTCAGCAGACCTGGGCTAGAAAAGGAATGAGATGAGGGGACTGAAGTAACTGTGAAAGACTACTGAGTGTGAATTGTGCTCTACAAAAATAGTTCCTGGGATGCAGAAATCCTGGAATTCTTCTGACTTTGAGCAGAAGTGAAACAGAAACAAAAACCAGAAGATAAATTAGCCCATGATCTTGGCTGAACTTGTGGTTCATGACCAATTTACTTTGGGTTAACCTCAGTCTCTCCCTGCAGGCACATCCACAACCAGAGGGGTACTAAGCTCAGTTTTGCACCTAACCATACTCAAAATGCAAATAAAAATGCAGCAGCTGATTTACCAGTTCAGCTTTAACAGCATTTCATTCTGATAGGAAAGCACAGTTGAACTTTTTGCCTTTTGTTATATTATTGTAGCTTGAAAGCAATAACTGCCTTAGGTGCTTCTCTAAGGGCTTCCTTAAAGAATAAATCCAGTATGGTATGAGGCTGAAAGAGAATTTAACAGTTTCATAAAATTTGAAAATATTCCTTTGAATGAAGATAAATTTCCAAATGAGCCATTTATCCCTTAAAGTTGCAAAGACAGACCACACAGATCTACCAATCTTAAATATAAAGGAGGTAATCAAAAGGCTGTCAGCAGCAAAATTATGTCTCATTTTTATTATATACAGCAAAAGTAATAATTTAAATGGCTAAAAGAATGTACTCAAATCCAAACACAGTGCAAGGAAGATCAAGTAATGACTTTAGCACCTAAACCATTCCTGAAAGAAGTTATTTTTATTTAAAATTGAATCAAAGATATAAGAATTTTTTAAACTCTTGCTAACTGGCTACTTAGATAAAAATTAAAGCTAATCATGAGGTCCTATTTTGGATTTGCAAAACCTAATTTAGCTAGGGATTTTTTAAAATCAAAATGAAAACCACTTCAACCTTCATAGTTACAAACCATGTCATGACATGCCAAGGACCATTCTCCCTGTGTCTGAGTTGGTACATCTGTTTCTATACCTCAACATCAAGTGATTTACTGAAAATCTCCAAAGGAGTTTAACCCTAACAGGAGAAATGTTTTATTTATGCAGGGTGCTACCCAAATTCCTAAAGCAGTTGGAATGTCTAATCATTGAATACGGAACTGTCGTGGAATTACAGATAACAAAGTCTCTCTGTAATCCCCAGATTGCAAGGTAACAAAGACATTTTTTCAATAGTTCTGCTCTTTTGAATGCTTTTTCTCCTAGATCCTTCTAAAATCTCACCAACAAATCCCCAAACCAGTATTCCATAGGTGACCTATGCAAGGAAGAGGTTAGTATTATTTTTTAGTAAGACACTAAAAGCCTCAGATAACTTTGCCATCCTGTCCCAGCTGTGCAGGCAGGGGCACGAGGAAGACTCTATAAAGCTATTCATTTCAAGTTTCTAATTATAAAGTAATTTTTAAAAAAATAACTCATAGCAAAGATATCTCCTTAGTACGAGAGAATCTCTATGTTAACATATATAGATGTCTCAGGAAAAGAAACTGGAAATAAAAATCAGCTTACCTCTGGAAGGAGAAACATAAAAACTGTGGAAGGATGGAGTGAAACTGTTGCAGGTGTGAGCCGGCTGGCAGCTGGACTCTGACAGCCCGAGCTGTGCTGCCGTGAGTCAGGTCTGCTGATGTGCCTTCCCCTGGCTGTGCCTTCCCCTGGCTGTG